AACCGATCGGAAATAACAACAACCAAAAAATAACCTATTTTTACATATATTCTTTATTCATTCCATTAAAATTTAGCATTTTTTGAAATTTAAAAAAATGTTTTTTTGGAACACCGCAGGGACATCCTGTGTTTAATTTTATTCCAAATTTTTAATTCCCTTAATTCTCTACTATCTATATGGAAACAAGAAACGTCAAACCAACATTTTATTTCAAAGAATATATTTTTGACAGTTTTTTCTGTGAAGAGCTTACGCATGGCTATGCTGTTATTAAAATTCTTAGTATAAAATTTGTCGACTTTAGTGGCGGCATATAAATAAATTTTATAGGGAAATGTCTGTTTAATTCTTTTTAGTGGATAAATTGTCTTTACAAAAATACCAAACAAGCTCACATTGCAGATAACAAATTTTTCGATTTTTGCCCACTTAGGGGGCACTGTGCGGGTGCGTGTCTTGGCTTCAATAAGGTAGTGGTCCGAGTCGATGTTTTTGGGACTCGGAGTGTGCGTACGTCTAAAACACTGGAAGCGTGCCTTCCGTGTATCACAACATGATCGATTTGGTTTCTCGTTTTTCGATCCGGAGACGTTGCTTGGTGGATCTTTTTATGCTTGAACATAGTACTGCATACTACCATGTTTCGAGCCCCGGCGAAGTCGATCAGCCTCAATCCGTTGTCGGACGTTTCGTCGTGGAGGCTGAATTTTCCGACGGTGGTTCCAAAGATCCCTTCTTTGCCCACCCTGGCATTGAAGTCGCCAAGCACGATTTTGATATCATGACGGGGGCAGCGCTCGTACGTGCAGTCCAAGCGCGCATAGAAGAGATCCTTGGATGCCTCATCCTTCTCTTCCGTCGGGGCATGGGCGCAGATGAGCGAGATGTTGAAGAATCTCGCTTTGATGCGGATTGTGGCTAGACGCTCGTCCACCGGGGTGAACGACAGTACTCGGCGACGGAGTCTCTCTCCCACCACAAATCCAACTCCGAATTTGCGCTCCTTTACATGGCAGCTGTAGTAGACGTCGCAAGGCCCCAGACATTGTTTGCCTTGCCCCGTCCAACGCATTTCTTGGATGGCGGTGATGTCAGCTTTTGTCCTTACGAGGACATCAACCAGCCGGGCAGAGGCACCTTCCCCATTAAGGGTCCGGACATTCCAGGTGCATGCCCTCAAATCGTAGTCCTTTAGTCCTTTAAACGTTTGCCGTGGTCGTCATCATAAGGGCGGGTCTCATCCGAGGCTTTACCTTGCTTCTTCACTGGAAGTGGTCCCAAACCCAGCGCACAACCCATTGCTGGGACGGGGTGGGTTCGCTACCAAATAAACGTTTATATAGCGAGCCGCTTACTCCAAGCGGACACCTGCTTGCAGCCGCACCTACTGTGAACAGACGCTGGAGACTTCAGTGAGCCCTTAAACCGAATAAGTCGGAGTGGCCCCACCGAAGCAGCTCCCTCTTTTTCTGTCGTGACCCAAGGCTCCACTCAGGTTGGTTACCGCATCTTGCACATGGGTTGCTCACGTTGCCCAGAGTGCGATTGAGTATAGCCATGCACCTGTAACTGCATACCCAGCGCAACGACTATACCCCATTGCACTCCTTAAATCAACTGCACTCTGAAAAAAGTTTAAAAACTTGTGTTTAATAAAAAAAATTCTAAAAAAATATATCTAAAAAACTGTTTTCATACCATTTTCTCACAACATCCAATATGTTTGGTTATTAAACCGCTGGCAGTTCTTGGTCCGCTCTTTTTGGAATTATCGAGAAATTCAAATAGGTATCGAAAACGCAACTCATTAAAATGTAGAAGGCATGTAAGCCAATGCAACGGCCTTCCCAAATCGATCTCAAAACGCCTTACTATGCCATTCAAAACGTCTGTGTTAGTGTTTTCTCCATCGCTGCAAATGCCAATTAAATTATTTAAACTGGAACCCTTTTCGCTGAAAAACTCCCAAAGCTGCCTTTGCTTGGTAAAAGCATCTTCAGCTTGAACTTTCACATATCCTAATAGTTTTGGGTTCGGCTCTTTAAGGGCGACTAAATCTGGTTCTTTAACCATGATTTGGTGGTATTTGCCGTAAATTTTTACCATTGTTAATGCGTCATTTTTTTGTCTAGCAAATAAAAAGTAGTTGAGGTTGCTGTCTTCTCTTTGGCTTTTGCGTACTGCTTCCCGTGCCTTCATCTTTTCTCTAGCGACTTTATTCTTATACATATTAATTAGGTCTCCAGTTTCATCTCTGTAGTCAATATCCTTGAAGAGAGCTGTTGCTGAATATGAAGCTGCTCTGTTAGATATGCCAAATATATAACACATCATCACAAAATTCAACGCCGAGTACCTTTTGGAGTAAGCTCGTGGTTTCAATGAAGTTATAAAAAAGGTCAACCTCTCCGGAATTTTCCCACAAAGGCATAGGCTTGCTTTTAATTTACATTTGCATTTCCCGATGAAAAACAAATCATCAATCGATTCCACAAAACTTCTTAACTTAATTTTAGTTTTTGTTTCTCTTTTTGTACTTTTTAATAAACTGGTTAAGTTTTAGTATGACGCTTTTTTCATTCATACGATCAATGCAATGTCCATTCCATATTTCAGTTAGTTTTTTTGACACGTCAGCAGTGAAATTCTTGTAAGCATACATTTTTCCTTCTTCTTTCGTGTGGTTGGAGAAAAAAAACTAATACTTTAATACATTACGTTTGCTTTTTAAGTTAAGGCCACTAAAATCTTGTGGTACTCCAAAAACGCTAACATCTGGAGAAGGCATATGGTATATCTAGATCAAAATGTATTCAACAAAGTGTGATTGATTTTGACATTGCTCTCATAAGAAACACATGATTCAATAATAAAAGGTTTGCTCAAAAAGCAGTTTTCTCGCTCCCTCTTGACAAAATCGGCTCCCTTAGCAAAGCATTGTGTGTGGGTTCGTGTGTGTGTGCAAAGCTTTTGTAAGGGAGCTAAGGGAGTGTCACAACTCTAATGTCAATAATGAGCAAACCTTTAATTATTGAATCATGTAAGAAACAGGCTATAATGCCAAATTTAAATGAATTTTTAGCCCATTCGAAAATGTGTTTTTTTTTCAAATTTGAATTTGTTTAAAAAAAATTACACACAAAAGCATAAAACTTGGGCAATTAAAAACAAGAAAATTGCTCAAACCATTTTATAAACAATTTGTTTTATTTTATTGACAAAATATATGTAATGTAAGTAAAAAAAAACTATAATCGAAATAAAAGCCTACGGCATCTGCTGACAAGATACATGCATCACAAAGGGTTAATTCGTTTGTTTATACTTTTTGACATTATAGTACGTTAAAAGAGAGCCGCACTGAGTTGTCAATCACACCTTGTTTAATACACCTTGATCTAGATAAAGTAGATAATGCTATATCCATTTCTGAAGTTGATGACATATACGAAAAATTATTTTCCATTTTATCAAATTATAAATTTAAATTGCAAAATCGAAGAGACAACAAAAAAGGCGCACGTTCTTTTTGTTTTCACTTGCGTAATTGATCTTAAACGGCACTAATCTCGAGTTACAACAAATCTTTTGGCAATTGTTTTTTGTAATATTTAAGTAAATCAAACCATGGTACAATAATTACAGGTATTGTATTCCCAGAGAGCGCATTTTCCGATCTGCCTTATTTGAAAAACATCATTGTTGCCCACACCAAAAGGTTAACTGTAAGGGAAAAGGGATATTTCTGTACACCATATACCATACATGTCCACTTTTTAATAACAAACCGTCTCGCAGAGAACTTATTTAATTGCAAAAGCCGAAAAATAAAAAATGCTTAGAAAACAAATCAAAAATTATTATTCCTCACTGTTTTAAACGATTTTTTTTTTTCTTTTTTTTTATAAAAATTATAAAAATTAAATTGAGCGAAAACCAAAGCACAGCCAACTAAAAGTAGAAGAATCAACATTGAAATGCGTCAAAATGAAAATAAGGGAGCACGAATTTCGATGTGAAGCAAAACTCTCTGGGAAGACAATACCTGTAATAATTGTACCATGAATCAAACAAAGTTCTGAGGTATATATAAATTATTGACGTTGATGTCTTTCAAAAATCTCACTCAAAAGTCGAATACTTTAAATTAAAAAAAAAACTGAACTTATAATTTTTTGTCAAACGGCTCATACATGGATGAACGATAAGCCCAACTGCTAACCAGTTTTACTCGGCGCGTAACGGGAAAAATCGTGAAATTGCTATGGCTGTGACTGATGTTAGTCGAAAAAAAAAATATCGTTATATAGGATGTGGGCGCGGTTATTGTCCGGCTTTAAACATTTTCAGCCAACAAGGCCAACAACTGTGTTTGGGAGAAATTGGTGAAGCGGCTACCAAGATATACAAATGTAATCATAAGTAGACGTAGCTACGCCTATTTTCCAAAAATGTATATATATTTTTTTTTGTTTTTTGTTATTTTATGGCCTTATAACAATTATATTCAACAATTTTGATTGGGATCGAGGCCGTTTTAAATGAAAAACTATTGTGGACAATTTATAATATTTTCTAAAAGTCATTGCAAATATCAATCTTCAGCTAACAAGCGTCAGTAGTTACTAAAATATAACAGTAACTACCGTTATATGGGAGGTAGGCGTGGTTATGGTGCGATTTTGCCCGTTTTCAATACTATCCGTCCTACGCTTAAAAGAAGTAAACATTACCAAGTTTCGTAAAGATACCTCAATTTTTACTCGAGTTATCGTGTGCACAGATGTGAAACTTCCCCTTGAAAAATCGCTGGCTCGAAATTGGTTTTAGATCCATAGCAAACTTGCTCAGAATCACCCGTAGAGCATTTTCCGCATATGCGATTTTTCCGTTTTTTCGGTCCTCTACAAATGTATGTAAGCTAATGAATGCTAAAAAGTGTACAAGTGACTCATATTTTCCCATTGGATCTGAGCTTGGGATTCATTTTTAGAAAAATGAATACGTTTAACCAGACCAATACCGTATACTTAAAATCAATATGTATGTATCTGATGTTTTTATATTTTAACAGGAAACATTCTGCGGACCAAACAGTTTGCTAAGTGATGCACAATTTGTCGGATTGGCCAAAATATACAAGACGCACCCATGTCTCTGGAATGAAAATGAGATAGCATATAGATTTGCTAACAGACGTCGAGAAGCCCTGGAATATATACTTCAGAAATTCAATACAAAATTTGAATTAAACTTAACTAAACGTGAGTTGGAGAATGAGATTTCGCGACTGCGGAAAATATGTTCATACGAAAAGACCAAAAAAATAGCATGTAAACGAAACAAAAGTATTTATAAACCTAAATTCGCATATTACCAGCACTTAGCTTTTGCTGAGATCGATGTTCGTCCTTTTGAATGCTCGATTTGTGGGAATTTACTTCGTAGCTTAAGTCAGTATACCATACATTTGGCATCCCATGATGGATCGCTACCATTTAAATGCATTGTTTGCGGGCATGGATTCCAGTTGGCAACTAATTTAACGGTACATTTACGAAGACACGTTCAAGACTACAACTACAGCTGTGAGGTATGCAACAAGTCTATTGCAACCACAAGTGAGTTAAAAAGCCATATGCGTATTCACACTGGCGAAAAGCCGTATGTTTGCGATATTTGCGGCAAGAGTTTCCGAATGCTAAACGAATTTAAAGAGCATTTGCTGCGACACGAACAACGCAAAATTCACCAGTGTTCAATTTGCCCAAAGGCCTTTTATAATAGAAATAAGCTTAGGGACCATATGGCCTCAGTTCATGTAAAAGTGCGGAACAAAATATGCAATGTGTGCGATAAAGGATTTACGACTCAGAGACAACTTCGTCAACACCAACACATTCATGATGCAGAAAAAAAATTTGAATGTAGGATTTGTGGAAAACGTTTTTCACAACCCGCTGGACTAAGTGGGCATTTAAAATCGCATGGAGCATCGTTATCTGCTAATATTGAGTACTAATTTTTAATAACTTTATATTTTATTTGTACTTTGCTGTAAACCCAAAATACACAAATATTTTTCTTGTCACATAGTACATAAATTATTTTGATTTCGCCCAGTATTAAATTGTACAAATGAAGAGTGGAAAGGGCAAAAGGACAAAGTTACCTACTGCGAGCGTTAGAAAGAAGTAAAAAGGTTTTTTGTATGTATTTTAATACATACAGTTATTAATGTAATTTCTTAATAGCCCAGTACGGAAAGAAACTAGTTTAAATATTGATGTTCAACCAGTTTTTTTGCACACCACAACTGATTGAAGATCCGATTTTCTTCCTTGGAACGAACTGTTTACTTTACCATGGCGATTTCCTAGGAAACAGTCAATTATGCGACTCCGCATTTGATTTCAACTACTTTAAAATGCATTTGGCTTAAACCACTTCAAAGTCAGTCGGCACTATTATGGCTGTCGATGCCGACGTCGATGTAATTTTTTCGTCAAAAAATAGCCTTCGTAAGTCCAACTGCAGCTATGCTTACCACAGTTTTTTTGTGAGGAACACCTTTCCTCAAAAATACTGCGGTCAACGTAGATGGAGTTAGACTTACGAGGGCTATTTTCGATAAAAAAAATGACATTGACGTCGACGTCGACAACCATATAAGGGCCGAGTATGTTTCGTTTCAATACGCTTTCGTTCTGCACTTCACAGATGCTTTTTCATATTTCCAAGATACAAAAAAAAATTGATTGTAATTTTCACATGGGATTCGAACCCGGAACTTCTGGAAGCTAACATGTGACAGCAGGCATCTCTGCACGCTCAGCTACTGCCAGACATGTAAATGTGCTTTCAACTACTTTAAAATGCATTTGGCTTAATTCAAAGTCAGTATGTTTCTTTTGCATATTTCTTTTCAACCAATTTAAAATTACTTAGTATTAAATGCTGAAATAGTTAATTGTATTTTCAAAGGTATTTGCAAAGTTATCACAAGTGTAAGCATTTGGTTTATCTCAAGGAGGCTGCTAGGTGAATATACATCCATTTTAAAATAGTTGCTACATAAGCAGAAATCAATTACTTTTTCTGAGGTAATTGGTTGGGCTATGCCGTACTGGGAGATTTAAAGCCTTATACAATAGATTAACTTCACAATGCTTAAACAAACAGGGAATACACTCGCACCAAAAGTTAGTGTTGTTGTTAGTAAGGTCGAATACAACATGAAATAAGGTTTCATGTAATCCCTGATTTTATTAAAAAAAAAACAGGTATCTACAAAATCGACACCTGAGTGGAAGATCGGCCTATCTCGGCAGCCAGTTCAAAAACGCCCTATCTCAGAAAACTTTTCAAGAACGCCCTATCTCAGACTTTGGTTGAACAACGCCCTATCTCAGCTGCCGATTCAAAAACGCTCTACCTCAGCACATTTTGAGTGTATTTTCAGCTGAGATAGGCTGTTTTTAACCGAGTTTTGAGATAGGGCGTTCTTCAACCTAATTCTGGGATAGGGTGTATTTTAATAAATTCTGAAATGGGACGTTCTTGAACAGTTTTCTGAGAAAGCCGTTTTCGAACCAGCTGCCGAGATAGGTCGGTCTTCCACTCAGGTGACGAAATACCGTTGATTTAAATGAATTTTTGTTTGCTGTCGGCGCACCGTGCGATGTCTTCTATATATATATAAAATAATAGCCGTTTTCGTTGTTCGGAGTTAACTCATAAACCACTGCATAGATTTCAGTCAAATTTTCAGTGGATATACCTTGCATATATGGTCCTATTATAGGCTACCAGAAAACTCGGTAGGTGGCGCTGGGGTCAAGTTATTTATAAAAGTCGTATTTATGAACCGATTTCGTTCAAGTTTTTGCACAAAAGGGACCCAATGGATGACGCTGCACCCGAAATATATAGAAACCCCCCGGGGTTTGTTCTACTTTGGCCCTATGTTTATCTTAAACGAATTTACTCTTCAGATGGCTAAATCAAGGATGCGTTTAAGTATGCATATAAAGACCGTAAGACTGCGTAAGCGTGATCTTGCATCTACCTCCGATTGGCGAAGTTGGTAGAGGCGGTCGTTATTACAGCAGTAAGACTCGAAGAAACCAATTCATAAATATTAAGACGAATTGTAAAAGTGGCGAATTGACAAAGAAGGATTCGACCACATCTGTCCAAGAAGGAAAACGATAGGTATATCAATGGCTTCATTTGAACGATATTTAAGAGATCACACGACTCATTTAGTCAATGTACGGGAAAACTTTTCATCCTGTGGGAAAGCGTGGATTATTGGCCCTCCTATAATTTAAAACGCTCATCTGTGCTCTTGAGTTTCCTTTGATTTTTATTGGCTTACATGGACCAATGCTGAAGTTGCAAGATCATAGAAGAATATTACGCACGCTTGGCAGAGATCTCACAGGTGGAAATAATACCATCGGTAAAACGCGTGACATCGAAAGGGATTAGTATTCCATATGGAATCACAGCGCTACTATTTTTGGCATATGTGGTGAGGAGGATTTCGCTCTTTAGTCGTTTAAATTTAAACTAAAAATGTTTACTTTACAGACCGCTTTTGCTTTTAAACGCTATTTTTGAATTGGCCAACGCAAAAGATCTTATTAGGCGCCGCGAAGCAAGCGGGCATTTGTTAGTTTTTTACATAAAATATTGTCTTACGATTTTAAACGCCATATTGGATCGGCCATTTTCTTCTTTGGTATTTTGACTTCAGATTCAAATACAGCGACCACAAAAACCTCTGAAAACCCCAATTCATGTGAATATACTAATTTTTTAAATTATGGGCATAAAATGGGTATCAAATATTTTCTTTGTATGAAAAAAAAAACGTGTGACGCCGCGCAGTGTTTCGACTATATGGAGGCAGGTGGAATAAATAGTACACCTGCGCCGATTTCACTAAAACTTGACATGTGCTCTAGTTTTACTTAGAAATAGGGATTTATGAAATTTGGTAAAGATGAAATAATTGCCACGCCTTCTACTCTTTTGGGCGGAAACATTAAATTTCATCCGATTTCCATGAAATTTAGTTAGTAGTATCTCTTTTATTAGAAAACCCTAAATATAAAATATGGGGAAGAGTGGATCACTATAACGTCCAAAACTCACAAAAAATGTGGGCCCAATCATTAAATGTGATGAAATGTTGGTTAATTTTTGTTTTCTGCTTTCCACTCTCAGAAAACAAAGGTTATACTATAAAATGACTTAGATATTTTCCATCATGCTGGTAGCTTACATTTTGAATTTAAAAGAACTCAGTTCATAAATATGATTTTTATAAATAACTCGACTCCAGCGCTACCTAGCGGGTCTATTTTTCGAATAAGTATTTTTCATAATGGAGATGGCACAGGTTTTGAATTTGTACGAAATCGGTTCATAAATACGACTTTTATAAATAACTCGACCCCAGCGCCACCTAGCGAGTTTTCTGGTAGCCTATAATAAATAGGATCATATATGCAAGGTATCTCCACTGAAAATTTGACTGAAATCTATGCAGTGGTTTATGAGTTAACTCCGAACAACGAAAACGGCTATTATTTTATATATATAGATAATACTAAGAGGGTCATTCCATTGAAAAGAGGATAACGACATAAATTTAAATATGCTCTAATTATCTCTATTTCATTAGTCACCTCTTATTAAATGACTGCATTTCATTAACCTGTGATGAAATATTAAAAAAAATCAAAAGAAGTTGCAATTTTTGTCTATGGAAACTTATATTTATTTATATATAATTACTTGACACCAGTCACAAGGAGATGTCCCACCAGTCACAACTTTAAATATTTTTTAATATTTCTATGAAGATCATATACACCTCGTTTTTTTTGGAAACGAAAGCGTATAATTCATATTTTACAACACAAATACATATATAAAATTCATCTTTGATTGCACAAGGGTAAAAAAGAGTTCTTTTCAGTGTCCCACCAGTCACATTCATTCAAATGATAGTTACATAAAACTAAGATCTCGTTTAGTATTTTTGTTAAAGCAATTTTATACATTAGTTATCGTTCTATGTTAAAAAATATTTTTCGCTGTTGTATAAGCTCCGACGGCATAGTTAAAACTCACAATTGATCACATTCTGGAGTAAAATGTCCCACTAGTCACAATGGAATGGCCCAAGAATGGCTTATTATTATGTGATTTAAGAATTTTTTTGGGTGGCTAAATTTGAATCTGAAGTCAAAATAATAAAAAAAAAATAATAATAATAATAATAATAAAATAATAAATAAAATAAAAAAACGTAATGGCGCCTAAAACTAAGTGAACGGTGTTTAATAAAAAAAAATCATCTTCAGAAAAACTTTCAATATCCTAGTTCTATAGTTACAAATATATTTTATCTTAAATAAGTAATATATCTTGAAATTTACGTATTTTTTATTGGTGAAACATTGTTTTTAGTAAAAATATCACAGTTGAACTTATTAAAAGTCATACTTTATATAGAACTTAGCAACATCACTTTCACAGTGATCATACAAACTGAATTTCAACTTTCTGAACTAAAACTGAAAAATGTGTAGCACCTTTCAAATGAAGTTTTATTGTTGTTTTTTTAATATTCGCAATGTTTTTCCAGTTAAATTTTTTTATTAATTGATCATAAAATATTGATCATCCCAATGGGACTGAAAGCAAGCTGCTCCCCAAGGCTTGCACTAAAAAATAAATAAAAATAAATTTCTAACAATGCTCAGAAAAAATGTCATTTTGAGTAGTTACACTAAATATTTTTTTAAGTTAATTTACACTTGCGATGAACTAATTAAGAGCCAGGGGTGACGCCGATCTTTCAAAGTACACAATAAAATAAAAATCAACAGATTTTCATCGACTGATTTTATAGACCACAAAGTTTTAGTGTAAAAAAGTGTTATGTTCGAAGCAGCGCTGATTTTGAATAATTTTTTTTCTGAAAGCCTTTTCCGGTATTTCCAGGAACAGTTTAAAAAAACTTTCGTTAATTAAAAAAAATGTGAACGGTGTTGCATATTTTCTTCTATAAGAATTACATCTTTATTTATCAATTTTCTTAACCTTCTGCAATGATTGGGTCAAATGGTCCAATTTTCATGAAAAAATTCTTTAATTACAGAGTAAGGTAGTTTTAAATAAGCTGCGGCGTTGTCTATTCATTAAAAGCATAATCAGCTATGGTTTTCCAAAAAATTGAAGATTTTTTTTTCGTTGGTTTACACCCACAGTATTTTTGAAGCACTTGTCGATAAAGTGTCTGAATGCGATAAATAAAATATTAGCTGAATACATTTTGAAATACCGTTTTTTCTTCTTAGAATTAACTAGTTTCTATCACTGTGTCAAAATTACCCAAAAACATTAGGGGGAGAGGTAAATTCCAAACACTGCAGAAGGATTAAAATTTAGAGTAAAAAGTTCGAAATTTTTATATCGATTTGCTGAATTTTTTAAATTTTTGTATCAAGTTTAGAAGTTTGATTTATGTATTTAGCTTTGATAATAACATTCCATATTCAGCAGTAAGCGCTCCCTTCCTAATTTCACACTTCATTGTATTTTAACATTGTGCTTCAACTACACTGGCGGTCAAAAGTGGATGAATGGTGTTTTTTTTTTTAATATTTAGAATGTTTTAAGCTAAAATTTTGTTGTTAGTTTTAAATAAAAATATGGTTCATGCTTTAACAAAAATCATTTACTTTGATGTAAACTTTTAAAGTTCAAAGTTTTAACATAATTTATTTCAAAAATTTTTATCTAAATTTTGAACATTTTAATCAGAATATTTACAAATGTAGTTGCAAGGCTTATACAATTTTAGTAAAACATGTGCAAATTTTTTATCGACAGCGTTTTGTACTTTTTTCCATATACACATGAAAATTTTGTGGAACAATATGCGCAAGACTGTTTACGAAAAAAAAATATATAAAAAATAACACCAGTTTTCCGTAATTTATATTTACGTATATGAAAGAAACCGAAAAAAGTCGTCTACAAAAAAAAAATTATAAGATTAATGCGATTATTTAGCCGCTTAACACTTGCACTTATTTTACTAAGGTTTTATAAGCCTTGTAACTGCATACCCAAAAATTGTATACAAATTCTGATCAAAAAGCTCAAATAATAACAATACTAGATTGACGCATTTGATTGAAAATTTTGAGATTTTGCGCTAAAAATGTACGCAGAGCTTTTATTTACCTTTCAGCAAAAGCTGGAGCAAATTTTTGTTATAATTTGTTAAAAAAACTTATGATTATCATGTGCAAAGAAATAGTTTTTCGCATTTTCTGACAAACGTATTATTTTGAGTTGTGACTCTTTTAAAGACGGTGTGCGATATTTAGTGTTTGGCCAAGGTTCTCCTCCTATTTGTAACGTGCACCTTGATGTTGTCACCCAAAGAGGAGGGACCTATTGTTTTACGACGATGGTATTTTAATGAGAAGCTGTTTTTCATGGCAGAAATACACACGGAGATTTGCCATTGGCAACCGAGGGGTCACACTATGGGCTAAATCACATTTTTTTGTTTAAAATCTAATATAACGAGAAGGAAAAGAGCTAGCGCAATCATTTTTTGTATGAATAAAGTTCAAGTTATGTCGGTTAAAGGAAAACTAAACCGAACGTCAACACGCTTTACTTGAGGGGCTGAAATGAGGGGCGAACTTGACCATGTTCAAAAAATTGATGACCTTTCGATGACCCCTAAATTCAGGGTTGAAATAAGGGGTGAATGGCTAAAACCCAGAAAATTCACTGAAAAACCTTATAAAGTGTTTTCATAGGTGGCGAAAACGATTCCTATAATTACTTCTGCAAGGATTGATTTACTGGGATATCATCAACCCTTCATTTGGAGGTTAAAATAATGGGTAAGTCTCTGAAATCCAGAAAATTTTAGAAATCGATGTCCTTTCGCTTTTCTTTTTGCTGTATCTCAAATTAGAGGTTGAAACAAGGGGTGAGGAGAATGACGACCGAAGTCCTTATCACTCGCTTTTTGTATGCATCAATCCTCATTACTCCTGTCTTCAGGGTCAGTCCACTGTCTGAAAATGCGGTTTTATTAGTTAAATAATTATATTTATATATATATATATATATATATATATATATATTTATAATATATTTATTTATTGGGTCTGACAAGTATACTGCCCTGTTGAAAGTGTCCAAGATAGCGTTTTCTCTACTATTTCTTCTGGAATGTCCCCGAATTGTCTCTTCGTGTATTTTGTGCATACTTTCGAGAGCATCTTCAGCATAAAATGCAACAGGTATTGGAAACTGCCGCACAATATCAGGACCATGTTGCAAAATTTTATGCATGGAAGTGTTTATGCGAGCCCATGGATATTTTATGTAGTGGAGTTTATAAGTAAAATCACGAAACTTTTTAAGCTCTACTTCAATCTCGAACGCACTTCTGTAAACTTTAGTGATAGTAGCGAGATTGCAAACTTGACTCCTCGTCAATATCTAAAGCGTTGGCAAAGTCTTTGGGTCTATCAAGGAATTTTCTGGCGAGATTTCCATTGTTGGATGTTCCTTTGCCTTTTATTACTTGATCCACTCTGATTTTAAAAGCATTATATAATCTATCTCTCACTTGACCGATTATTTTATCGATAAGTTCCGAAAATATCGATAGCAAAATTGATAACAATATCGGTGAAAATTTCGATAACAAAGCCGATAAAAATATCTCTTCCCCTCTCTTCATCTTTATTTTTATCGGTATTTTCATCCTCCTCTTTGTCTTTACATTTATGTTTATCATTTTCTTCATCTACATATTCCCCTTCACCTTTGCCCTTATATTTGTATATAAGCAAAGTGTCTTCATTCTTGCCTTTATCTTTACGCATCTTTGCTTATTTTTTTTATTTTTACCTTTGCCTTTATCCTTTTCTTTATCTATGTACGTACTCGCCTTTACTTCCATTCTTGTCTTTTTCTAAGTGTTATTCTTTAACCTTTTATTAGCAAATTTTTGTTAAATTAATACCATGTGCATACACTCAAGAAACACTTGTTTCAGCCGCAAACATTTCCGTTGCATCACTTCCGTTGCACCACTTCCATGTGCAACTTCCGGTGAATTTGCCAATTTACTCCCAACCAACCAACCGCCGCTAAAGAAGTTTCACTTCAAAAATATTTTTTTAATTAATTTGAGAAAAATCCTACAGATTAATTTATTCGAAAAGAATCCCAAATTATTTTTCCATTGCATAATACTTTAGCAAATATAAATATACGGATTTTTTAAATATTAAAAAGTTAAGGCACAGATATATTTAAAAATAAATTTATGATGTACCTTTTTAAAAATTTATTGATAAATTTTTTTATTTCGTATTAGAATTGAGATGAAATTTTAGAGTTACGTGGAAATTTTAAACATATGTTCTGTCTAAAAATGTGGTAGATTTTAAGCCTTGTGTGGTAGATGTGGTAGACACCCAAATTTTAAAAAATATATGGTGGAAGTTTGCTCCTAACTATGATTAAGCTGCGCGTTTTATTTCATTAATAATAATAATACTAGATTAGCGCTTCCACAATATGTTAGTGCTTCGTCGAGCTTTTCCGATTTGTGGCGTGCGCCGCTATTACAAACGGTGATTGTATTTTTATGAGAAGCTGTTTTTCATGGCAGAAATACCTCGGCGGCTTGCCGTTGTCTCCCCAGGGCGACCGCTGTTAGAAAAAACTTTTTGATGTTGGTCGGAAACTGGGATAGAACCCAGGCCCTGGGGAATCGTAGCGCGCACTGCTAATTACTGCATCACAGCGGCAGCAGAAAAACACTCCAGATAATTTGGTACGGTTTTATTACGCACATACTCCGCAGAGCACCGCTTTAGAGTTATGTTCCTGAGGCATTGACTAAACGACTCTCAAGTTTCAAGGGTTTTGAGTTTGAAAAGTCAAAACCTTTCATTAAAGGTTTTTAAGTTTGAAAAAGTCATAGCATTTCAAACAACATGTTACAAATATACTATTATGAATGCTAAAAAATGTGTAAGTGAACCATTGGATCTGAGTTTGTGATTCATTTTTAGAAACGTTCTTACCGCATATAACCAGACAAACAAACAAAAAAACATTTTTTTTTTCGCTTATATTTCTGATATTTTTATATTTTAACAGGAAACAGTGGACCCGAACTCTACTACATTCTCAGGACCCAACAGTTTGTCAAAAGATGCACAATTAGTCGAATTGGCCAAAATATACAAGACACAACCATGTCTATGGAATGAAAAGGAGATGGCATATAGATTCGCTAACAGGCGTCGAGAAGCCTTGGAGAATATGCTTCAAGAATTGAACAAAAAGTTTAAATTAAAATTAAGTAAACGTGATTTGGAGAAGGAAATTTCTCGACTGCGCAAAATATGTACATACGAAAAGAATCAAAAAATAGTATGTCAAAAAAGCAAACGTAGTTATAAACCGAAATTCCCATATTACGAGCACTTAGCATTTGCTGAGATCGATGTTCGTCCTTTTGAATGCTCGGTTTGTGGAAATTTACTTGCCAGCCTAAGCCAGTATACCATACATATAGCATCCCATGATGGGTCGCTACCATTTAAATGTATTGTTTGTGGAAGAGGATTTCAGCTGGCAACTAATTTAACGGTACATTTACGAAGACACGCTCAAGACTACTACTACAGCTGTGAAGTGTGCAGCAAGTCTTTTGCAACCACAACTGAGTTAAAAACCCACATGCTTCAACACACAGGCGAAAAGCCGCACGTTTGCGATATTTGCGGCAAGAGATACCAAATGCGACGTGAATTTAAAGAGCATATGGTGCGACACGAAAATCGTGGTCCTGGTGTTAAGTGTACAATTTGTCCAAAGGCATTTTATAATAACCGTAACCTTAGAGAGCATATGGCCGTTCATCGGAACGTGCGGGACAAAATATGTGACGTCTGTAATAAAGGATTTACAAGTCGGAAACTACTTCGTCAACACAAACACGTTCATAATAAGGAAAAGAAATTTGTATGCAAAATTTGTGGAAAACGATTTGCGCAGTTCGCTGGATTAAGTGGGCATGTAAAATCGCATGGAATATGTTTATCTGCTACTAAGAGTAATAATTCTGAATAAATCTCTAATTCATTTGTACTTTGGTTTAAAGATGGAATGCATCCATGACAGAAGTACTTATTTAGTGCTGAAAACGTTAAAGGTGCATGAATTACACTGGCACATAAAAAACAGTGACGTGTGCTTTTAACCAGACCCACCTACCGACATGTACTTCAACCCGCTGAATCCGAATCTGAAGTCCGTTTGACTCGTAAGCGTCCTGAATTTTGAGTCAATTGAGAAAATTACGATTTTTTTTTTGCTATTTTTTCACTACTTTTTTTGTGTGTCGGCGTAATCGATCGCAAAAACAGGGCCCCAATCGCGGCATTCGTGATCAAATGATTACTCGTTTTGAAGCGAATCGAATAAAGTGCCCATGCTATCGAATCCATCGTGTCCTCCATAAGAGTTACGTTTGATATCGAATTCCGCGATTCGGACCTAGTTGATTATACTTTTTGTAAACGAGCTAAATTGATTTTTCGCCACATTGGCTCTCTTAATATACAGCCCAATCCTAAATTATATTTCCGCACGAGTTTTTTCTCTTTCCGCAATCCTACTATTCTAAATAAAAGAGTTTTGCAGAATATCTCGCTTTCCGCCTATCCTAAACATCTTCGAAAAGTTTCGAACATGAAAAGTAGGTATTTTAAATATAAAGAAAGTGCGGAAACTCTTCGAAATCCGTTAGAATTATTTCATCTCGAATTTTCAAGGGAGTTTGCTGCAAAAATGTGAGTATTTTGATAAAATGGAAGAAAAAGACATACATTTTTTGTTTAAGGTCGAAAACAACAAATAAAACCCAAATGGGAATCCTTGTCAACATGATGGAGGAGAATCCTGCTATTGCGAGAGGATTTTTTAAAGGAAATAAGGAGGAGCTCACCCGATTTCGGCAGAAGGGTAATGTTGAGCTGACTGCGGCAGGCCCCCCCAACTAAAACCATTGTGGAATGGAAAAAGGTGATTTCAATGTTTCAAAAAGAGAATCGGTGTATGCATGTAAAATTGTGTCAGTAGTTTGTTAATGTAAAAGGTACTGGAGGCAGCCCACATATGGTGAAAGTACTCTCCCCCCTTTAAGAAGCCATTTTTAAATTGATTGGGATGAAGCAGTCGGTAGAAGGATTGCCCGTAAAGAAGTTTGGCCTGCAAGATAACTTGAATGAGATCTGCAATGAAAACTTCTGCCCAGAAGTAGAGTTACTGAATGTAACCCAAAATGAAACTTCGGATGAATCTATGGTCATCAGCGAAGCAAGTCATGCAGATTATACGACTATAAATGTGTCCCTTGTTTCAGCAGATTCATTTGAATTTGTCAGTGAAGAAGCTTCTGCAGATAATACTGAAGTGCCATCCACTAGCAAGAAGGCATCATCCTAAAAAAAAAACGTTTCAAAAAAAGCAAGGGCCGAACTTGCTCTGACTGAGGAAATAAAAATACAGAAGGAAATCTGCGCAAACATAAAGACTGGAGTGGCAAATCAGGACGAGTATCGGGACAACTTAAAAAAAATTTACCAAAGGTTCGATTTATTTTCATTTTACAAAAATGTATTCTTAATAAAATACTTTTTTTTTACATATTATAGGCTAGACAAAATATACGATCTTAAGAAGAAACATTTCAAGGCAGTTGAGCTTATGAAAAAAGAAAAGTTGGAGGAAATCAAAAAAGCGAACGTAATTAAAAGAGAAAAGCTAGAAGAAAAGAAAAGGCACAACTATTTCATTGAAGAAATGAGAAGAAATGAAATTGAATATAAAATAGAGAAAACTTAAAGACTGCTGGAAATACTTCTTCTTCTTCTTCTTCTTTTTTGGCGCTGTAACCGCCTAAGCGATTTTGGCCGAGTTCAGCAAAGCACGCCAGTCGTTTCTCCTCTGTGCCAACTGACGCCAATTGGAAACGCCAAGTGAAGCCAAGTCCTTCTCCACCTGATCTTTCCATCGCAGTGGGGGCCTCCCTCTTCCTCTGCTACCACCAGCGGGTTCCGAGTTGAATACTTTCAGAGCTGGAGCGTCGGTGTCCATTCGAACGACATGACCAAGCCAGCGGAGCCGCTGTATTTTAATTCGCTGCACTATGTCCATATCGTTGTAAAGCTCATACAGCTCATCGTTCCATCGTCTGCGGTACTCGCCGTCGCCAACGCGTAAAGGCCCGTAAATCTTCCGCAAAATCTTTCTCTCAAACACTCCAAGAGCCGCCTCATCGGATGTTGTCATTGTCCATGCTTCTGCGCCATATACCAGCACGGGCATGATGAGTGACTTATAGAGCGTGGTTTTCGTACGTCGAGAGAGGACTTTACTCCTGAATTGCCTACTCAGTCCAAAGTAGCACTTGTTGGCAAGAGTGATTCTACGTTGGATTTCAATGCTGACATTATTATCGGTGTTAATGCTGGTTCCCAAGTAAACGAAATTCTCTACTTTCTCGAAATTGTAACTGTCAACAGTGACGTGGGTGCCAAGGCGCGAATGTGCTGACTGTTTGTTTGATGACAGGAGATACTTCGTCTTGTCCTCGTTTACCACCAGACCCATGCGCTTTGCTTCCCTATCCAACTTGGAAAAGGCAGAACAGACTTCGCGGTTTTTGTTACCGATGATGTCGATGTCATCGGCATAAGCCAGCAATTGCACGCTCTTGTAGTAAATTGTTCCTGAGCGGTTCAGTTCTGCAGCTCTTATTATCTTCTCCAACATCAGATTAAAGAAGTCACATGAAAGGGAGTCGCCCTGTCTGAAACCCCGTTTTGTGGCGAACGGCTCGGAGAGGTCTTTTCCAATTCTGACGGAGCTGGTGGTATTGCTCAACGTCATTTTACACAGCCGTATGAGTTTTGAGGGGATGCCAAATTCAGACATAGCGGCGTATAGGCAACTCCTTTTAGTGCTGTCAAAAGCGGCTTTAAAGTCGACAAATAGGTGGTGAGTGTCGATCCTTTTCTCGCGGGTCTTTTCCAAGATTTGGCGTATTGTGAATACCTGGTCTATGGTGGATTTGCCAGGTCTAAAGCCACACTGATAAGGCCCAATCAGTTCATTGACGGTGGGCTTCAGTCTTTCACACAATACGCTCGATAAGACCTTGTAACCTATGCTTAGAAGGCTGATCCCGCGGTAGTTGGCGCGAATGGCGGGGTCACCTTTCTTGTGGATTGGGCAGAGCACACTTAAATTCCAGTCGTCGGGCATGCGTTCATCTGACCATATTCTGCACAAGAGTTGATGCATGCACCTTATCAACTCCTCGCCGCCGTACTTGAATAGCTCAGCTGGCAGGCTGTCAGCTCCAGCGGCTTTGTTGTTTTTCAGCCGCGTTATTGCTATACGTACCTCGTCATAGTCAGGCGGTGGAACGTCGACTCCGTCATCATCGACTGCGGGCTCGGGTTCTTCTTCTCCACAACTTTCCGTGCTGCTACCATTTAGTAGGGCGGAAAAGTGTTCCCTCCATAATTTAAGTACGCTCTGGACATCAGTTACTAGGTCGCCATTATTGTTCTTACAGGAGTGCGCCCCGGTCTTTAAACCTTCCGTAAGTCGCCTAACTCTCTGGTAAAATTTTCGGGCATTCCTCCTGTCGGCCAGCATTTCAAGCTCTTCGCACTCACGTATTTCTGCCTCTCTCTTCTTGTTGCGGCAAATACGTCTCGCTTCCCTCTTCAGATCCCTATAGCGGTCCCACATAGCGCGCGTTGCGCCCGATCGCAGCGTGGCCCTGTAGGCGGCATCTTTTTTCTCTGCAGCTTCCTGACACTCCTCATCGTACCAGTTGTTCTTTCGGGCTCGCTGAAATCCGACTACTTCTTCGGCGGCGGTACTTAATGAGCGGGAAATGTGGTTCCACTGCTCGCATATGTCGGTTTGTTGAAGAGTGCTCTCTGAGAGCAGGTGTGAGAGTCGAGTAGCGAAAGCGCTGGCTGTCTGTTGTGATTGCAGCTTTTCGACGTTAAGCTTTCCTTGCATATTTGGGCGCACATTTTTTGCTGCACAGAGGCGGGTGCGTATCTTGGCTGCAACAAGATAGTGGTCCGAGTCGATGTTTGGGCCTCGGAGTGTGCGTACGTCTAAAACACTGGAAGCGTGCCTTCCGTCTATCACAACATGATCGATTTGGTTTCTCGTTTTTCGATCCGGAGACAGCCAGGTAGCTTGATGGATCTTTTTATGCTTGAACCTAGTACTGCATACTACCATGTTTCGGGCCCCGGCGAAGTCGATCAGCCTCAATCCGTTGTCGGACGTTTCGTCGTGGAGGCTGAATTTTCCGACGGTGGTTCCAAAGATCCCTTCTTTGCCCACCCTGGCATTGAAGTCGCCAAGCACGATTTTGATATCATGACGGGGGCAGCGCTCGTACGTGCGCTCCAAGCGCTCATAGAAGAGATCCTTGGATGCCTCATCCTTCTCTTCCGTCGGGGCATGGGCGCAGATGAGCGAGATGTTGAAGAATCTCGCTTTGATGCGGATTGTGGCTAGACGCTCGTCCACCGGGGTGAACGACAGTACTCGGCGACGGAGTCTCTCTCCCACCACAAATCCAACTCCGAATTTGCGCTCCTTTACATGGCAGCTGTAGTAGACGTCGCAAGGCCCCAGACATTCTTTGCCTTGCCCCGTCCAACGCATTTCTTGGATGGCGGTGATGTCAGCTTTTGTCCTTACGAGGACATCAACCAGCCGGGCAGAGGCACCTTCCCCATTAAGGGTCCGGACATTCCAGGTGCATGCCCTCAAATCGTAGTCCTTTAAACATTTGCCGTGGTCGTCATCATAAGGGGGGGTCTCATCCGAGGCTTTGCCTTGCTTCTTCACTGGAAGTGGTTTTTACGTGGCGGGTCCCAAGCCCAGCGCACAACCCATTGCTGGGACGGGGGTGGTTTCGCAACCAAATACACGTTTATATAGCGAGCCGCTTGCTCCAAGCAGACACCCGCTTGCAGCCGCACCTACTGGTGAACAGACGCTGCAGACTTCAGTGAGCCCTTAAACCGAATAAGTCAGAGTGGCCCCACCGAAGCTCCCTCTCTTTCTGCCGTGACCCAAGGCTCCACTCGGATTGGTTACCGCATCTCGCACATGGGTTGCTCACGTTGCCCAGAGTGCGCGAACGAGGACGCAAGAGTCGGGATTGAGTATAGCCATGCAACTGTAACTGCATACCCAGCGCAATGACTATACCCCATTGCACTCCCTGCTGGAAATACAGGAACTGAAAATTTACAAGGACAAAGACGCAAATTTGCAATGTTAGTCTATTCACTAACAGCATTGCGCAAAGCACACTGAGACTATAAGCTTAGATTTTTTACTGATAAGATTTTTATTTTTTAACTGAATTACCTGCGTTTTGTTTTGTTATTGAATTAAATACTATAAGTACTATACATACATATTAAACTCCTGCGCAATTCAATTTAAAGGGCCTAACAAGACATCCGATCGCCGCGCAAATACTTTCCCTCCTTTACTCTCATCGTTCGGGTCAAGTGTGAGTAAGCATAAACCAGTTTCTGCAAGCGTACGTAAACTACCGATCAATAGCAAGACGCGTAGAGTATTTACTTTGCCTTCCGCAACTACTGCGAGTAAAAGGTATTTGACAGTAGAGTACTCAACTGGTAGAACTTGAGTATTTTCGAAGAAAACATACATTTGTGACAAGAATGAAAGAAGAATTTTCTGGATCGTGCATTTGTGGTATCTGAATAAAACTAAGGACAGGATTGTAGTGGAGCGATGAAGAGAGCGACGAGCAAAACGTACTTTCAACTAAAATGCTGATATACACAGAGAAATTTTCGTTTTCAAATTTGTATGGAACTTTTTAATTTTAAAAACGTTTTGACCCAGGTTTTGCACCTACAATATTGATTTAAATTTTGAGAACGGNATTTGTATGGAACGTTTTACTTTTAAAAACGTTTTGACCCAGGTTTTGCACCTACAATATTTATTTAAATTTTGAGAACGAAAATTTTCAATTCAATTTCCAAAATCCATGTTTTTGTTTTTGGTACTCAAATTTTCAAATCGTTTTTAAAAACGATCGTTTGATAATTGAATATGCGCATGTTGAAATAAAATCCTAAAATGTTTTTTCTACATTTTAAAAATATGCATTTTTAAATATGATATTCAAATTTTATTTTTATTAAATCACAACAAGTCATTTGGTATATACATACATTGTAAAAAATATATTGATATACATATATACTTATAAATAAGTTACAAAATTTAATAAACAAAATACAGATTTTTTACAAATACTATATACATACATACATACAGATGTTCCCGCCTTACTTCAACGCTGGGCCTGCTAGTTTTTCTTCACGCTGGTCAAACCCTGTAATTTAAAGCAAGAAAGTTTTAAATTATAATTTGATAACTCATAAGAATTTATTTTTGTAAATTATTCTTACCAAAACTTTTTTCGGTCGAAGAAGTCCACCATATCACCAATGTCCCTTCCATGTAGTTAGGTGGTTAGAATGGCGGTATTGTTTGTATATACTTCATCACCTTTTTTGAAGATTGAATTAACTTATTTATATCAATACAATTTTTTCGACAAATGATGCAAACATATGAAATGTTTTTCATTATAGCTAGGTAGCTTTTTAAATTCTTATGCAAAACATTTTAGTTTTAAATATTTTTCATACTTAATTGACTAAAAATAAATTAAATTTTTTATTTTAAAAGTGTATAGTTTTATTTTACTTGTTGAAAATTGTGTCGCACTACAATTCGTTGGGAGAAAATCCTC